GGGGGGGGGGGGGGGGGGGGGGGGGGGCGGTTGTTCACTGAGGGGAGGGGTCCTTCCACTGGGAGGAAGCCAGTACATGTACAGAGGGTAGAGCGGTGAGGGGCTGGAAGCCCGAAAGACCAAACACCTATGCATACGACGAAGGGTGATGAGGGGTTCGCGGGCAAAGAGAGGACGACGGTGGGTTGCTGGGTGGGCCAGGGATACCGCTGAGATGGCAAGAAGAACCGCTGAAGGGTGCCGCCATCCTGGAAAGCGGGGGGGGGGGGGGNCATTGACCTCGCATCCCTACAAAGCCGGGACGGAGCACGCCGGGTTCTCACCGGACCAGGCTCTCACATCACCAAGCGCGAAGCGCCGTGAGATATTCGGCGAGTCGCATGAAGGGTGCGCTGCATCCTGCTAAGGGTGTTCGGCATCTTGTGCTTACTTCCTTGCGTACGGATGACAGCTGCGTATGACTCAATTTACTTTCTGGTGCTTTCACTTCCACAGACAGTTGTAAGCACCGTGAAACTGCCTCGAGGGTGCTTGACCATTTTAACACAACGTGGTGCGATCATCCCCCTTGCGCGGAGTGAGGGTTCACCCCGCACAACATTATCTACTCGACCACCATTATGGTTACCGCCAAAAAAAAAAAAACGGAGGTAAAAAAAAAAAACACGGTAACCTGGTTGCCGAGTTCACGAAGTGAATTGGCTTGTTTTACAACGTCGTTGCCAAGCGACGAAAACCCAATCCCGATGGCAAAACACCGGGGGGGGGGCTTGTTTTTCAACGTCGTTGCCAAGCGACGAAAACCCAACCCCGATGGCCATCCTGGAACGCGGGACGGGTAAAACCATATGGCGAGAACTGGCGTCGAGGTTGTAGGGCTGCTTAGTTGGACAGACGTCCGAAAACGAGCGGTATAACTCTCACCCGTCAGTGTCGGAGAGCAGGCCTCGCTTGAGCTCCTGCAGCGTGCCCATCACCGCCTCCATCTGCTTCCGCTGGCTGTGACAAAACGGAACGACAGTAATAATCCGGCCAGAAAAACATATTTCCGTCCAGACAGCGATGTAGGACGAGCGTGTGGGCTTGTAGGAAATCAACGTCTCTAGTGTTCCAGCTCTTGGTCGTGTGTTGCGCCCGGTGAAGTTATCGTAGAAGTTAAGATAGCATTTCTATCTTTGATGCTTTGCAGACGCGGAACATATACAACAAACCGGTGAAAGGGAGACACAAACCTCAAGGGATACGATGCGATAACGTTATTTGCATGAGGCACGATCTACGGGAGAGCGTCCACCTTGATCGCGAGAAGGGTGGAGGGAGCCGTGGGGCTGGGAAACTCAAACAACACCAACACAAACATCGAACAACCACTGACAAGCGAGACGCGCACGGTCAAGAGAACGATACGATGCAAACCGTAGAAATAAAAGGTTATCATACCACAATATCTTGCGTGAGTTCATTTCTAATATACGCCGGAATCTTGGAATGAATTCGTTGTGTTCACGTACGAAAAAAATAGTATCAGAACAAGCAACCGACCGGAACCAAGAGGCGCAACCACATCTTCGTACGTTCAAAGGCAGAGTAGCCCACAACACAAGAGTGCTAGTCACCAAGACGAAGAGCGGAGGCAACGAAGCCGGGAAAACGCGCACCTCGAGCGACCGCAGGCGAGCGAGAGCACCACCAGTAAGAGGGCGGACAGCGATAGCGATAACGCTACGGCTCCTTTGGTGCTAACCTCGGCGCAGGAGGACCCTGGCGGACGGCAACCAAGGGCAAGGCCCGACAGAGAATAGAGACGCGCCGCCGCGGGCAGAGAAAACCACCACCCGTAGGTTAACGAAGCACGAAGTAGGGCATTAGGTGAGGGTTTGTAGTTGAAACCATGACAACGACCCCATCACTACCAAAATTGGCGGTAGGACGACAGAGCTACAACACCAACGGCAGCACGCGACGTCTTATCCTGATCCGGCTTCAGTACGTGGTGCGCCTTTCTCCCTTTCCACCGCAGAATTGCAAACTCTTCACTCCAGAACCAGAGAGACCAAGACAGAAGAGAAAAGGGACAAAAAATCCACAACCCGCTGCGACTACAGATGGTATGTTTACCAGGAATCCCACGCGACCTGCATGGCGACAGCCTTACGACGTGCTTCTACATAATGCATGACGATTACCGCGATACCGAAGACGTGCTCGAAAGCTCTTTTGAATCCCGTGGGGGGAACGCACCTGCGTATAGCCAGGGGCAAGAGCAAGTCGCGGAAAAGAAGTCGCACTCGCCGACGCCGTTGCAGCCAAGCGGGCAACAACTGCCCGTCTGGCAAAAACAAAAAAAAGAAAAGAAGGCCAGGAAAAAGGAAAATGAGAACGACATATTCCGGGCAGCTGTAAAGAATTCAACATATTCCTTCGAACGGCATACTATCTCCAAGGGGGGTGGCTATTGTTTCGTTTTGTGCAAGTGTTCTGGAAAAGACATAGTCTAATCAGGTACACAAGGCAGCCACCTAACCGATTTGTGGAGCCTGTTGTCCACCGGGGGGGGTACACAGTAGTTCCACGAGGATGACAACCAACACTCGTATATAGCTCATGCAAAACATTGTTGTGGATCACTCCGGAAAATCATCGTGGACTTCATGCAACGTACGGATAGAGATGAACTCGAACGATCTTCTGTGAGACCCATGGACAGAGAGCAAGGTGCGCGAGAGTGTTGTGCATCTCGTACAACAGGCACTATCCTAGCTCGTGATGACCCCGCTCCGGCCGAGGCTCAACCCCCACCCAATCTAAGCCGCCGTTTTCATCTAGAAGATTGTCTGCAGCCGGGAGATGTCGTTTTCACCGTGAAGCCACCTCCATTGCCCCCCAAAAAAACTACTTTTTAGTGCACGCTGGTTGGAAGCGAGCCCCTCGTGATGTAAAGTAGCGCTCGGTAGTTTGGTAAACTTGTTCCCAAAACAAGGTCCACGAGAACTTTCGGGATAACAAGAGTTCACACCTAGTTTCATGGGCCACAACAAGTACGTGGGCCTCGACTTCGTCGGTGAAAGCGTGACCGTTCGCACGTTGCGTTGTCAAGGGAAGTCAACGCCCCCCCAGGGGGAAAACCAGCCATCACACAGGACGTGACACCACCTGAAGATCCCGGGAGCTATGAATCCCAGCATCAACAACGGACAATAGCATTTTTTTCTTGACCAAAATAACAGGTACTGGATTTTAGAATCCCACCCAGCTGTCCGTTTAGTCCATGTTGAGGCTAAACCACAGAGGAAAAAGAAAGAGAAGCAAAAAGCGAACGAGCCTCGGGCGGACAAAAAGGTTCTCTTGGACGTCATCGTAACAGCACCTCTGCGGTAAGCCACCGACGTCATCTGAATGGCATCTCTCGCTCACGGTCGTGAAACATCGAGTAGTCAGCGCATCGTCTCGCACCTGACAAGACGATGCAGCGTCGCCCCTCCGGCCGCCCCGCTTTACGGGTCGCTCTTCCACCGGCACACACCCCATGCCGTCTTGTCCTCCACACCAGGAGCACTCCATGTTCAAAAGGCATGCCTGGGGGGGGGGGGGGGGG